AAGCGACTACAGAAACTGTAGCCTCGGATATTGAACGTCGAGTTAGTGTACGGGCTAGTGAATGTGCCTTCAAGTACAAGGAAATAGTGATCAAGAAATGTCAAAAATACACGCAGATCTGGCTAAATACACATACCAAGATGAAAAATGCTCTCAATCCATTGGTAAACTATTTTTCTTTGTGAATATTCATATTTTCTTTTTAAATTTACTTTGATTTATTTATAATTTATATAACAATTTATAGACGGTATCAAAATAAAATTATCTATTATAAATGAAAAATGGAGAAATGTTGATGAAATGAAATGCATACAGTATCTTCTTTTTCTGTATTTTCATTGTAGAAAAATATTTTCACTGCAATGGAACATATTTTCTGTATTTTCACTAGTATTTTGCCAGACTACGTTTTTTCTAAATTCAGCCAATACACAAACTGAAAGTCTTTTGAATTGTAAGGTTAAAATAGAGAAAAGGTAAATAGTAAACAGAAGATTCAAGTTTTTCTATGAACACAGAATTTATTATTATGCCCCCACTTCGAAGAAGAGGGGGTATATTGCTTTGCACTTGTCGGTCTGTCCCGTCCGTCGGTCCGTAGACCAAATGGTTTCCGAGTGATAACTAAAGAACCCTCAGTCCTAGGAACTTCAAACTTGGTATGGTGATTGGTCATGACCAGTAGATGACCCCTATTGATTTTGGGGTCAAGGGGTCAAAGGTCAAGGTCACATTGACCTTGTATGTTAAAACGGTTTCCGATCAATAACTAAAGAAAGCTTAGGCCTAGGATCTTCAAACTTGATATGGTGATTGGTCATGACCAGCAGATGACCCCTATTGATTTTTGGGTCAAGGGGTCAAAGGTCAAGGTCACATTGACCTTGTAGGTAAAAACGGTTTCCGATCAATAACTAAAGAACCCTTAGGCCTAGAGACTTCAAACTTGGTAAGATGATTGGTCATGACCAGCAGATGACCCCTATAGATATTGAGGTCAAGGGGTCAAAGGTCAAGGTCACATTGACCTTGTAGGAAAAACAGTTTCTGATCAATAACTAAAGAACGCTTAGGCCTAGGAATTTCAAACTTGGTATGATGATTGGTCATGACCAGCATATGACCCCTATTGATTTTGGGGTCAAAGGTCAAGGTCACATTGACCTTTTAGGTAAAAACGGTTTCCGATCAATAACTAAAAAAGGCTTAGGCCTAGGTACTTCAAACTTGGTATGATGATTGGTCATGACCAGTAGATGACCCCTATTGATTTTGGGGTCAAGGGGTCAATGTCATAGTGACCTTGTACTTAATGACCGTTTCTGACCAATAACTCAACAACTCAAGTTGCCTTGGTTGATATTTTTATGTGCTTTTGGTATACACATTTGAAGGTCTTATGTAATATAACAACTTGGCTGTCATTAATGAGGCCTATGTGATTCATAAAATTTATGTATATATTATTTGGTAAGATTTTTAATAACTTTAATTGCTGCACACAACGTATGGGGTCACAATAATTATTACCTTGTGACTAGTCATGACCAGTAGATACTAGATAACCCTTATTAATTGCTTGTTCACTGGGTCAGAAGTCATGCATAATAACCTGATCACATGACAAATTGGCTGCCGATAGGGGGCATACATGTTTTACAAACATATCTTGTTTCTTAAGTGGCGCTATCTATATAAAGGAAACAGTTAAATTTCAGGTACAGGACATAAGAGGTGGTTATTGCAACTTTAACCCTTACTTTTGTCATTTATGGATATTTCTTAACATTATCAAATCCGTTGTGAATTATATTGCATAAGAATAACTTGGCAGGCATTTAGTTAAGACACTGTAATTATGAAATTTTTTAATTAAGTAAAAACCTAAAGATGTTTTACAAAACTTGTATTCTTTTTGCAGGTAATGCAGGAGATCTCAATGGCACTGAATGCAGCCAAGTATGATGACAGTAACCTGGTGATGTTCAGTGGTTTATGTAATGTATTTTGTTCTGGTATAGATCTACATTATCTGACTGTAGGAGACAAGAAAATTGCTGCCAGACAAATGGCAGATTCTCTCAGGTAAAACATCCAGGCTCTAAAAGTGTTAAAAATTGATGAGTTTTAACTATCAACTTGGGAGACTATTGTACAAATATTGCATGGAAAGACCAATAATGAAATAATCATCATTAATGTAATGTAATAGTACTATTGATTAGTAACTAGGAAGTTGAAATCTGGCATGAAAGTTATTAGTTTAAACATATTTATTTTAGCTTGATCTTGCAACTTATTATACCCCCAAAAACAAAGTTTTGGGGGGTATATAGGAGTCACCCGGTGGTCGGTCGGTTGGTCCAGACGTCCGTTGCATTTTCCTTGTCCGGAGCATAACTTGAAGACTAATGGTTGGAATTCAATATAACTAAATACAATGGTTAAGCACATTGAGAGGAAGTGCAGTGCACAAGAACCATAACTCTATCTAAAGTAATTACAGAGTTATTGCCCTTTGTTACTTTTCCTTGTCTGGGGCATAACTTGAAAACTACTGGTTGGAATTCAAAACAACTTCATACAATTGTCAAACACAATAAGGGGAAGTGCAGTGCACAAGAACCATAACTCTATCTAAACTAATTACAGAGTTATTGCCCTTTGTTACTTTTCCTTGTCTGGGGCATAACTTGAAAACTACTGGTTGGAATTCAAAACAACTTCATACAATTGTCAAACACAATAAGGGGAAGTGCAGTGCACAAGAACCATAACTCTATCTAAACTAATTACAGAGTTATTGCCCTTTGTTACTTTTCCATTGCTTTCTTTTGTCCGGACCATAACTTGGAAGACTTATTGTTGGAATTTATTATAACTTCATACAATGGTCAAGCACATTGAGAGGAAGTGCAGTGCACAAGAACCATAACTCCATCTTGACTTATTACAGAGTTATTGCCCTTTGTTACTTTTCCTTGTCCAGGGCATAACTTGAAAACTACTAGTTGGAATTCAAAACAACTTCATACAATTGTCAAACACAATAAGGGAAAGTGCAGTGCACAAGAACCATAACTCTATCTAAAGTGATTACAGAGTTATTCCCCTTTGTTACTTTTCCATTGCTTTCTTTTGTCAGGACCATAACTTGAAGACTTATTGTTGGAATTCATTATAACTTCATACAATGGTCAAGCACATTGAAAGGAAGTGCAGTGCACAAGAACCATAACTCTATCTTGACTTATTACAGAGTTACTGCCCTTTGTTACTTTTCCTTGTCCAGAGCATGACTTGAAAACTACTGGTTGGAATTCAAAACAACTTCATACAATTGTCAAACACAATAAGGGGAAGTGCAGTGCACAAGAACCATAACTCCATCTTGACTAATTACAGAGTTATTGCCCTTTGTTACTTTTCCATTGCTGTTTTTGTTCGGAGCATAACTTGAAGACTAATGGTTGGAATTCAATATAACTTCATACAATGGTCAAGCACATTGAGAGGAAGTGCAGTGCACAAGAACCATAACTCCATCTTGACTAATTACAGAGTTATTGCCCTTTGTTACTTTTCCTTGTCCAGAGCATAACTTGAAAACTACTGGTTGGAATTCAATACAACTTCATACAGTTGTCAAGGATATTAAAAGGAAGTGCAGTGCACAAGAGCCATAACTCCATTTTGACAAAATACAGAGTTACTGCCCTTTGATACTTTTCCTTGTCCGGCACATAACTTAAAACATACTGGTTGGAATTCAAAACAACTTCATACAATGGTCAAGCACAATAAGAGGAAGTGCAGTGCACAAGAACTATAACTCCATCTTCAGTATTTATAGAGTTATTGCCCTTTGTTCCTTTTCCTTGTCTTTCTGGACTTATTATAGAGTAATTCAATAAAACTTCATCAATGGCCAACCACATTGAAAGGAAATGCAACATACAAGAACCACAACTATCTTTAATTGCCCACAACCATAACTCTATATTTCAATTCTTTTACAAGGTATTCTGTTACTAGTAACATCCTCATTTCCAAAGCAGTCTTGTAGGGGTATTAATCACATTTAGTGATAGTTCTAGTATTTATCACTTAAGAGTTGCTTCCTTGAACTAGCCAGTACTGATGTCAAAAGAGGAAACATGATTGTGACCGTAGTAGGGCTCAAACCCATGATCCCTGGGTTAAGAGGCAGACACCTTAACCACTAGGCCACTGCTCCCTTTAATGAAAATTATTGTCTCTTATATTAGTATCCCTCTTTCAAACAGTCTTGCTATTGGTCACATGATAATCTGTATAGTAACTGATACATGTATATATATAATTATAAAGCACTTGGTTAGAATTTCAATGTGACTGTCTGTTTATGTTAGGTGACTTCTCAAACACGAATAACTTTATTTGTTGTACTGGAACTGACATTGACATTGTTTTGCCACTTTAATATTGTTTATTGTATTGAATAGGCATTTAGGTAATATATTTCCATTAATCAGAATTTCTCTTACAGGGATCTTGTCCGAAAGTTCATCACATTTCCCAAGTTGATAGTAGCAGTAGTGACAGGACCTGCTATCGGATTGGGCTCGGCCTTGCTACCGTTATGTGATATTGTATATGCCAGTGATAAAGCAACATTTTATATGCCATATGCTCAATTATCTCAAACACCAGAGGGATGTGCATCTTTTACTTTACCAAATATCGTTGGTATTGCAATGGTAAGTGTTAGAAAATATGTTTTCCCATTCATTTGTTATTTCATTATACATGTTTGAAAGATATTTGTTTGACACAGATTATATATATTTGAAGTTGTAAATTTGAAAAGACTTAGATTTTCCTGTCAGTGTTGTTATACCCCCACAAACAAAGTTTAGGGGGGGGGGGTATATAGGAGTCAGCTTGTTGGTTGGTCGGTCGGTCCACATCATGGTTTCCGGAACGATAACTAGAGTTTGGAATGAGGTATTGTTATCAAACTTGGTATATATATGTGGAAACTCCGGTTGGTATTGCATTTGGACCCTCTGGGGTCAAGGTCAAGGTCACCGTTACTAAAAATAGAAAAATGGTTTCCGGACAATAACTTAGTTTGGAATGAGATATCGTTATCAAACTTGGCGTATAGCAAGCTTATATGAAGACCTGGGTTGGTATTGCATTTTGGTCCCCTGGGGTCAAGGTCAAGCTCACCGTTACTAAAAATAGAAAAATGGTTTCCGGACACTAACTTGACTTAGGAATGAGATACTGTAATCAAAATTTTTTAGTTTTTTTTTTAAATGCATTTATTTAAGGTCGCTGCCTGAAAGCCCATATGGGCGACCGTACACTCAAGTCGGACCATCCTAGAGCGTCCCGCCAAGATTTTTTCGTTGATATTTTTCCAGCTTTATTGGTGGAGGAAGACCCCAGGTGCCCCTCCGGGCATTATTTCAGGCACGAGCGGGCACCTGGGTAGAACCACCGACCTTCCGTAAGCCAGCTGGATGGCTTCCTCACATGAAACATTTCGACCCGAGTGAGGATTGAACCTACAGCGTTGAGGGACCTGTGATCTCAAGTCGTCAAAGTTGGTGTATAGCAAGCTTAGAAAAATGGTTTCCGGACAATAACTAGAGTTAGGAATGAGATATTATTATCAAACTTGGTGTATAGCAAGCTTATATGAAGACCTTGGTTGGTATTGCATTTGGGCCCCCTGGGGTCAAGGTCAAGGTCACCGTTAGGAAAAATAGAAAAATGGTTTTCGGACAATAACTAGAGTTAGAAATGAGATATTGTAATCTAATTTGGTGTAAAGGAAGCTTATATGAAGACCTGGGTTGGTATTGCATTTGGACTCCCTAGGGTCAAGGTCACCGTTACTAAAAATAGAAAAATGGTTTCCGGACAATAACTAGAGTGAGGAATGAGATTTTATTATCAAACTTGGCATATAGCAAGCTTATATGAAGACCTTGGTTGGGATTGCATTTGGGCCCCCTTGGGTCAAGGTCACCGTTAGGAAAAATAGATTAATGGTTTTCGGACAATAAGTAGAGTTAGGAATGAGATGTTGTAATCTAATTTGGTGTATAGGAAGCTTATATGAAGACCTGGGTTGGTATTGCATTTGGACCCCTAGGGTCAAGGTCACCGTTACAGTGTTACTAAAAATAGAAAAATGGTTTCCGGACAATAACTACAGTTAGGAATAAGATAATATAGCAAGCTTATATGAAGACTGGTACACTGTTATTGATAAATTGCAGGCAAATGAGATGCTAGTAGGTGGTAGGAAGATTACAGCCATCGAGGCATGTCAACTCGGTTTTGTATCTCAGGTATATTGGCCCACCAGTATGATGCAAGAAGTCATTCCACGGGTACAGCACATGGCTCTTGTTTCAGGAAAGGTAAGAATTACAATTGCATATTTCACATGTATGTATGTTTGCAGGCATGTTAATACGTAACTGATTAAGACATTTCATCATATTTTCTGCTATTTCATTTGTCATAAAACAAATGTACCGTATAAGTACTTATTTCTGCGGTCTTAAAATTATGCGATTTTCGTTAAAATAAGGGGTCTTAAATTTCTGCGTTTCTTATTTCTGCGGTGCCATTATTCTCCCATTCAAGTGTTTTATTTCTGCGTTTAAATCATGATATTTGTTTACAATTAACCAATAAACGGCATTTCAAGATTTGTTGATATGTCATTACTTTCGGTAAAAATGCAGACGACTGATAATGTGTTTCGTTGTAATCATCATGTATCGGTATACACTATATACCGGTATTACGTAATTATTAAGAAAATAAGAACAACAAAATGCAATGACAACCATTTTAATACTGTATGTGTATAAATTTGAAGCATTCATGTATTTAACTATCTTATAGGTTCATTAAAGTCCTTATATTCATTATATATATATTCATTATATTTCTTTTCACAACAAATAAATCATGCATGTATATACATTGAAAAGAATCTATGGAAAAACTTGCAAATGTTAGTCTCTTTCAACATGAATACTTGAACTTATAGCTTGGTAAACAACGTGTTGTATTACCAGTGAAGATTATTTGCGGCGGAAGAAATTCGCCTGTAAGAAAAAAAATCAACACAATTTGAATAAAAGAATTTCAATCATTTCGCTTAAGCGGACTTTTACAGGTAAGTGTGAAAAATACACAATGGCAAATTCGCACATAATATAGTGGTACATAAAAGCGTGTTTATTGCAGGTTTTTAATGATAATTTCAAACAATGGTCATTTTATCACGTTTTTGATAATGGTGTTTTTAAATATATTTCAAACTGAAACAGCGGTATTAACAACGATATACACTGCACATGAATTATAATTTTTTAACACAATTTTAATATTTAATTGTAATGATAAAAATTATAAGTTTTATTAAGCATTTAATTATATAAAATATTCGGCAGAGAAAATTTAGATTTACTTTGCAGTGTACCAGCAAATACGGCAGTGAATTGTCATTTGTCTCCAAAGCCCGAGATTTCGACTCGTTTAGCACCTTCAACCTTCATATACTATAGTCATTTTATTCTATCAAATAATTCAAGCTTAGAGTGAGCGAAAATCATACCAACATGATATTTATTTCAACAAAAATAACAAGCAAAGTAACGTTTTTTAATAATCTTTTATTCATGACAGAAAGACAAATCTACTTATACCGTTAAAAGCCGATAACGATACATGATAATGGTTAGGTAATGTAGTTAGACATTACCGGTTGCTGAAATTCCGACACATGTATACATAAACAAAGCCGAGAAAGGCTTAATTTTCTGCGGTTTTTAAATCTGCGGTGTCGTAACGAACCGCAGAAATAGCAGAAATAAAGTTCCCGCAGAAAAAAGTACTTACACGGTATATCCATTGAAATTCATAATTGACTTACTTAAGTTTCCTCAGTATTATTGTCAGTGGTTTAGCTTACCATAGGCTATGTAGGCTGTGACCCACACTTTTAAAAAAGAAGAAAGTTTTAAATTTACTTGCTTTCCTACAATTTGTAATAATTCCCATGAACATATTTATAGTACTAATTTATAAATGCCAAAAGGCACCTCTGACAACAATTCTTGGAAATGCATGCCCCCAAACCCTATCTTAACTGCCTTCAAATTAATTTAGACCAAACTACTCCTCTGATAATTATATTGAAAAGACACATTGGAAATTTAAGTTTTAGGATAAAAAACGGGGCTCTAGTATAGTTAATTGATAAGCTTAGATTGTTACCTTTTCAAAATTGCTACCAAATATATTACAGGTGCTTGAAACAACCAAGTTGTTAGTAAGAAGTCACCAAAGAACAAAACTTGATCTCACAAATGAATCAGAATGCAATCTCCTGGTGGAAAGATGGCCTTCACCAGAATGCCAGAGGGCAATAGAAGAATTTATCTCCAATGACAAAAACTACATTTTATAGTTTAGTGTTCAAGAACAATGTTTTTAAAAACTATTTATTGTATAAAATACTATTTAAGTTAAATTTTAATGTCTCATAGAGGCAATGAGAATTTAGATACTGGTACATGTAGGTATTTATTAATTTGAAGCTGACTTATATATTTTAAACTATTTAGATATCAGGTCTAGAGCATCAGCGTAATCTTATTTTTACTTGCCATTTTTCATAGATAACAAAGTCAGTAATTGGGTAACTCCTTATGTGATTTAATAGAAGTTAACCCATTACTGCACTGAGGTGACAAAGTACATCATTGTTTCTTATAAAAATACTTCCTTACTTTAAGATTTCACCTGTAATTCTCATGTAATACAAAAAGCTCACAAGAGGTATTCATTTGTCAATGATCTGGCCTCAGGTTTATAAAAAAATTTTCTGAGGTCTTTCTTGAATTGCTGGATTTTCACTAGTCAGTGTGCATTCTCTGCTTGTTTCTGACCAATCAAAATCCTAAGATCTGAGTTTAAGCTTAAAAAATTTCTTTATAACCTTGGATCCTGGGGTTGTTTTTTAGCTCGACTATTCGATAAGAATAAGTAGAGCTATTGTAGTCACCCGAGCGTCGGCGTAACCACTTCTGTTAAAGTTTTTGTAATAGTTCAAATATTTACAAAGTCCATTGGCATATGGCTTTGAAACTTTGCACACTTGTTCACCATCATGACCCCAACCTGTGAACAGGAGGAGGTAACTGTATCAAGCATTTCGACAGAATTATGCCCCTTTTTTCGACTTAGAATTTATGTTAAAGTTTTTATGTTAAAGTTTTTGTAATAGTTTAAATATTTTTAAAGTCCATTGACATATGGCTTTGAAACTTTGCACACTTGTTCACCATCATTACCCCAACTTGTAAACAGGAGGAGGTAACTGTATCAAGCATTTTGACAGAATTATGCCCCTTTTTCGACTTAAAATTTACGTTAAAGTTTTTGTAATACCTCAAATATTTTCAAAGTCCATTGACATATGGCTTTGAAACTTTGCACACTTGTTCACCATCATAACCCCAACTTGTAAACAGGAGGAGGTAACTGTATCAAGCATTTTGACAGAATTATGCCCCTTTTTCGACTTAGAATTTACGTTAAAGTTTTTGTAATAGTTCAAATATTTTCAAAATCCATTGACATATGGCTTTGAAACTTTGCACACTTGTTCACCATCATTACCCCAACCTGTAAACAGGAGGAGGTAACTGTATCAACCATTTTGACAGAATTATGCCCCTTTTTCGACTTAGAATTTATGTTAAAGTTTTTGTAATACCTCAAATATTTTCAAAGTCCATTGACATATGGCTTGTTCACCATCATTACCCCAAACTGTAAACAGGAGGAGGTAACTGTATCAAGCATTTTTTTTACTATCAAGCACTAAGAATAGTCGAGCGTTGCTGTCCTACTGACAGCTCTTGTTTTTATGGGAAAGTGTGAAGCTGATAATAAAATGTAGTAAATGCTGTGCCATTAATAATTTATTGTATGCATGAACAGATTGTATAAGAATAAGGATGTAATATAAAAACAGCTATTTAATTATTAATTGATACAATTTACAGTTTCATATTTAGAAGAATTATTTACATTATTTACATCATCACCGTTTAAATTTGAGTTTCATGAAATTGATAAGTTTATGAATGTGTTCAATTTTATGGGGTTTTTTCCCACCATATATTTTGTGTTCATTTGTTTATAAGAATGATTGAATGAAATGAAAACTTTAAATTAGAGAACTGTATGTGACTTTGGAGAGTGGGAAGAAGGAGGAGGTTGTAGATTTTAAATTTTTTTCAGTCCCATTTGTCATTGAAAAAAAAATCGCTTGCTTTTTTGGCAATTCAGTTGAACATTTGATGAGTTGTCTTGTTGTATAAGTATTCACACACATGTATATGATGCAAACTTGAGGCAGCAATATGGTACACAAGGCAGCTGACATTTTATACTAGTGTTAAAATATTGAACAAACCATGCTATGCGTGATTTTTTTTATGATTTGTGATATTTTTAGTGACATAAATTTTAAAATCTGAACACATCAAAAATTCATTTTTGAACATGACTTTTAAGATATATTACAGTGTATTGAGCAATGTCTATTTATATAGGGTATTTAAAAATTTTAAGTGATTGTAATGAAATTTAAGTTTGAGAGAATTGTATATATGTAGGGTTATAAATGTATTATATATACATTTATAATTGATTATTTTAGATCTTGATTTTCTGTATTTATATATCTGTTTAAAACGGAGCATGACTGATTTATGCTTACCACAAAATTAAAGGGTATCAATCCACTGAGGTTTTTTGACATGTGGGGTTTGGAAATAATTTTTCGAGATGAATGTTCTCTTTGATGTAAGTCAAGAAGACTTATAATGTGTTCGCAAATTTTCAGAGCATTTGCTCAATCTGTTTGTCCACATTGTGAAAAATGATCCAAAATTGAAAAGCATTGCAATGCTTTTCACTTGGGATAACATAGCACAAACAGGATTTGCAATTTTTTCTGATTAAATATTTTAAATATCTGTTGCATATCTTTCAGTTTTAAGTGCCCCAGCTGATTTGGACCTCAGTGGATTCTTTAAGTTAGGTCAAAAAATATTTTATAATTTGTTCTTTCTTCGAAAACTTAAAACAAGCTGACAGCCTCGTAATATACAGGAACATGTGATGTTAACAGAACATGGAAAAACTTACTTCATCATGCTACTAGTTCATGTTCCAAATACCACATTCAATACAACTGTTTTAAAACATGGTAGCAGAAAAGTCTCGCATATATCCTTGCAGATAACTTGGGGGGATACAGAAAAACTGTTCCTGCAAGCAATGTTTAGATGGAATCTCTGTTTTGGGGGATACTTACAATTTTGTAACAGATATTCTTCTTGAAAGATACAAATTTAATGTCAAATAGTTGCCTTGTTCTCAACAGATATGTAATTATAGACTTAAGCAGTAGATATTTACTTTAATGAAATAATGTGTGTACATGGCAAGTGGAATGTGTATGATGATTTTAGTTAGAAATAAATATTTATTGAATACTACAATAATGAACTTGTGTTGTAGTTTAAAGTGATGTATGTTTAAATGTGTTGAACATTTATTGTACTTTGTACCCTATTGTTTGTAGAATGTTATTGTTCTTGTTAATTCGTATAAGACCATTTGTATATTTCTATGTCTGTCAAGAAAATCAGAACATGAACATCATAAATAAAAAACTTGGAAAGAACTTACATTAGTATGTTCAGATGATAACCCTTTTGTCAAAATTGGCTAAGTTACTCAAATGCATTTAATTTCGGGAGTGTAATTTAAAGGTCATCATGGGCCTTTTGTAAATGTGAGTTTTTGTGATTGCAAGTTGTCTTATGCCCATAGATTAGTATAGATATTTTGAACATAGCATCATCTTGTGGTCTTCTACAAAGGTTAATTTGTCTAGAGCTTACATATCTGACATTACCTAATGGGCCACTACAAAACTTGTATAAATCATACGGATAAGCAAAGAGTTTTTTACTTGTATTTTATTGTTATGCCCCCTGATGCTAAAATGGTCCATCATTAGGATCACTTAGTTCAGGGAGACTTTTGTAGGAAATACACATTTATCCTCTTTTAACTTTATGTTTTAAAACTTAGATATTTTCTAGCAATGGACCTCAAGTGTGTGTTTTTAGGGCTATCATTGCTTAGTTCTTTACAATGTTTCTTCATTGGACATTAATAGTTTGTCAAAAAAATGGATTTTAGGAAGATCGATAATCATTGATAAAATGTTGGTCAAGAATCACTAATTTAAGCAAGTAAAGCTTGCAAGCCTTTTCGGTTCATTTTCAAGTCAACTTCCTAGAAAAATATGATTTTGTGTAGTGATGCAAGGTCATATTCAAAGTATGGTGAATTATTCTGGGGATACAATCTTTACAACTAGACCATAGCTCATTTTTTTTATGACATAAAACAGTTTTCAAAGCAGGAATTTTGTATTAAATGGTAACCATTCCTTTGTTGATTTTATTGCAAGATTTTCACTGTGTGAAAAATAAAACCATTAATCTCATGCTTCATGTGTCTGTCTTAATTTAACATCTATCTATATGGTATGGTAATGACAGCTCAAAAATTTTTTTTTTCTTTTTTTAGGGGTTACTTTTGTCGGCAGCACTTTTTATTTTTAGCTCACCTGAGCATGCTCAGGGTGAGCTTTTAGGAATCGATGATTGTCCGTCGTCCGTCCGTCGTCCGTTCACATTTAGTTGTTAACACTCTAGCGGTCGCATTTTTGCCTCAATCATCATCAATCTTGGTCAGGATGCTTATCTAGTTGATAGCTCGGATGAGTTCGAACATGGGTCATCTCGGATGAGAAACTAGGTCACAAGAGCTAAAAATAGAAAAACCTTGTTAACACTCTAGCTGTCACATTTTCGCCTCAATCATCATCAAACTTGGTCAAGATGTTTGTCTAGGTGATAGCTCGGATGAGTTCGAGCATGGGTCATCTCGGATGAAAAAGTAGGTCACCGGAGCTAAAAATAGAAAAACCTTGTTAACACTCTAGCGGTCACATTTTTTGCATCAATCATCATCAAACTTGGTCAAAATGCTTGTCTAGGTGATAGCTCGGATGAGTTCGAACATGGGTCATCTCGGATAAAAAAGTAGGTCACCGGAGCAAAAAATAGAAAAACTTTGTTAACACTCTAGCAGTCACATTTTTGCATCAATCATCATCAAACTTGGTCAGGATGCTTATCTAGTTGATAGCTCGGATGAGTTCGAACATGGGTCATCTCGGATGAAAAAGTTGGTCACCGGAGCTAAAAATAGAAAAACCTTGTTAACACTCTAGCTGTCACATTTTTGCCTCAATCATCATCAAACTTGGTCAAGATGCTTGTCTAGGTGATAGCTCGGATGAGTTCGAACATGGGTCATCTCGGATGAAAAAGTAGGTCACCGGAGCTAAAAATAGAAAAACCTTGTTAACACTCTAGCGGTCACATTTTTGCATCAATCATCATCAAAGTTGGTTAGGATGCTTGTCTAGGTGATAGCTCGGATGAGTTCGAACATGGGTCATCTCGGATGAAAAAGTAGGTCACCGGAGCTAAAAATAGAAAAAAACTTGTGAACACTCAAGCTGTCACATTTTTGCATCAGTCATCATCAAACTTGGTCAAGATGCTTGTCTAGGTGTTAGCTCGGATGAGTTCGAACATGGGTCATCTCGGATGAAAACTAGG